GTAGGAGTAGGAGTAGGAGTAGGAGTAGTAGTAGGAGTAGTAGCAGTAGTAGGAGTAGTAGTAGTAGTAGTAGTAGTAGTAGTAGTAGTAGTAGTACAGTAGTACGCAATACACACCCCGCACTTCCGCCCCCCACAACCGACCAAACCTGAGTGAGTCTTCTTTTCCAGCCTCTGTTCTCCCACGTCTATACAAGATTGGCTGATTTTCTGCGCATTCTAGACCGCAGCCCAAAAATTGACAAAATCCTGCAGGAACAAACTTTAAGCCGCCTCGTGGAGGGTCCCTTAGTTCAGCACAGTGCTATGTTTCGCTACACAAGCCGCAACGTAAGGCGGCTCCACCGAATGACCCAGCGGTGGCTTCAGGCGAGGATCCAGCTGCAGACGAACCACTGCCGTCTGCAGAGTCCGAGAAAGTGACGGCCGAGCACCTGCCAACAGAAGCTGAGAGCCCCGAAGATCGGCCTTTGCCGGCGGATCCCTTGTCAAGACACGAGAAGCAGGTGGCCGATCAGATCGATTCAGATCTTCCCAGGACTTTTCCGAATATCCAGGAGGGGAAGTCTGAAAACGTGTGGCGCATGCTTGTGGTAGGCTCCGGCGGCCTTCAGAATTCAAAGGTTGCTGAATTTATGGGCCCAAGTGAGCGACGAAGCCACTGTATGCTCCGATAGAACACGAAGCTTCAGACGGCCTGTTGGCATGCTCTTTGCGACTGAAGCTGTAGCCGCAGTAAATAATCATTCAATCAGGCCGCCCTCTTCTCATACGTAATTAAGCCGAAACGGCAAAACCTTGTACCCATCTCCGATCGCATCTCTTCAGGACGTCCAAGCGCAGAGGGCAACCATTCGTGAGGTCCTCTTGGCCTTTAGCAAGGCAAATCCACATGTCGGCTACTGCCAGGGTATCGCGGCAGGTTTTAGAAGCTTTTCTTGGGTGTTTGTTTGCTAATTTGGATATGAGCTGGGACTTTGGCAACCCCAAGCGCAAGAACAAAACACCATTGCATCACCTTCGCCACACCCCCCCCGTGAGCAGCTTAAACTGGGTCGATTTCGCAGCTGGAACTGTGGGTTTAGGGNNGCGCGAAATAGACCCAGTTCCTGTTTTGCCAGATGCGCACGGCCTGAATCAAATATTTTAAATATGGGGGGAGGCTAGACGCCGGGCTTCGCGTTGTTTGGGGTCTAGGTTGTTGCCATGTTCCGTAAGTTCTGTATGGTGTTCGCCTTCCATCCTTCTTATAGGCGTCTACTCGTATTCCCATCCATTACCCGTTCCCGTTTCTTGTTTGAAACTTGGCTGCATTCAATACACACCCTCTCGAACCCCTCGCGGAGAGATGCTTGGGGGGAAGTGGGATGGCGGCCGCAGTAACATCTGCGGGCCATTCTCCTCCTCCTCCTCCTGATATTGACAAATGAACAAAATGATCGCTATCTAACAATTGCTGATATTGTCCTTCACTTATCTTCAGCTATCTTCTAAATATCTCCGTATTACCCAAAATGCTTTAGGTATGTACTCCTGAGATAGATATTGGCCGAAAAATTTATGAGCATCAAATGCAAACCGATATTACTTTTCATGAATACCAGTGCAGAACTAAGAATGACTAAGCAGCTCTTATAACGGTAATTCGATACTTATTGAAGAATGACTAACATGCACGGGGCTTAACAACTATTGATCTTACCTTTTGCATGTGGTCAGCTATCTTCTAAATATTTCCGTAGCATTATATGTATGTGTATATATATATATATATGTTTACATATTCATGAGATGTTGGTCGAATAGTTCATTAATAACAAATGCGAAGCCAGATTAATTGCAACCAAGCATGTCTCATAAGGTAATTCGGTATTGAAGAATGAATAACTACCAGACGAGTCTTTCAGGCAACATCTTTCGACATGCTAAAGTACTAGCAGTGTTTACTAGTTATTGTTCCGCAGGTCAACACTAGTCCAACATTGGGCAAGATTTCACTGCATCTCTGATAAATTGCTCACTAACTAGTAACTAGTCCTCACTACGTAGCAACTTCATATGTAACCCCATTTTGAATGCTAGCTAAACACCAAACGAATATTCACTAAATAGCTGTGAGCATACTAACCAGGTGTCGTTGAAGTATTAAACAAACTATGAATCAAATACGACATCCCCCCTCATCATCTATCATTTATATAAGCAGTAAACAAACTATATATATATATAACACATACATGCGGTGGAAATGAAGAAAATACTGACCATCACAGATTAGTTTACCATTCATATAAGGTTCAAACCAAATTTGCAACATTGCCTGATGTTGCAACAATCTTATGCCATAGTTCTTTATTTTTTTGACTAGTGGTGTTGGATTTCCACTACTCACATCAGAGTATGTCATGAACAGTCAGAAATCCCCAAATTTGGTCTGGAATCATGAGATAGCCCAAAACGCTGGGTTTTGGAGTACTCTTCACAGTAGTTACACCTCATGAGCAATAGGAGTGTACATTAAATAAACAGCAACACGATGTAGAAGCTTGAATCATGAGCAACAACATCTCTTAATCGTGTTTCTGTAGTTATGTTCATAAAACTTATTATACTTATTCAGGCAGGTTTACATCGCTTAAACCCTGAGCCTAAACCTCAAGCTCCGAAGCAAGATGGAATGATTCTTCCGTCTCAAGGCATGACGTGTAAGGACCTTAATATACATGAAAACACAACAGAAGACGCGACGTCACATATCGCACGGCACAACAATGCAGCAGGAGACCTCCGGCTTGCAACAGTTTCAGTTACACTGTGCGTGCTCCCCTCACTCCCCAGACCCACCGATGGTGGATCATGGGCAACTTTGACTGCGTCGCTTGCTCTCTCCAGTGCGTCTACCTCGGCTTACCTTTCTCGGTCCTGTTCCGTGTTTTCTGGGCACGGCGTATCGACAAAGCAAACGGTACGAGTCGATGTGCTACGTAGATTAGCATCTGCAGTTTGACGATAGCGGTTTGGGCGTTCGAGCCAGTCATTCTGTTTGCGTGTCTGTTGGCAACAGAGCGAGTATCGCAACAACCGCCGGAAAGCAGCCAGCAACAGAGAGCACCACACCACAAGGACACCAACTCCACTACCAAGCAAGCCAGTACCAACATCGAATACGAAAACATCATAGGCAGCAGCAGCAGCAGCAGCCATGGCGAAAGCCAGAACAACAGGGCCTCAGAGGTGGATGCCCTAGGCTCAATGAAACATTACTTGTCAGCAGACCTGGCAAGTTGGCTGTATCTTTGAAACGCACTTTTTTAACCTTCAAGGCATGAGCTTTCCCGCGGCCGTGCTTTGTGTCCACCTGCCGGGTTCTGCTTTGGAGCAGCCTCTGGGATGCATGGGGGTCGACCCATAATCTTGTGGCACTTCTAACAGGGCCTGATGTATAAGGAGTGTTTTGTTTCACACATCGCAATTCATTTTTAATCAGCCAAAAGTAGCAGCATCATCCTTACGATGCGGGTTGTCACTCGTATGCATATTGCACGAGTGAACAAGTCTTCGTTCCACTGGTGTGAGCCTGAAGTGTTGCCCGACTGTTGCACTTGCAGTGGCTCGGCGGACCTCCATCCGGACGACGCGTGAAAAGCATTCGCTTTAGGTTGAGTTCCATGATTCCCCCTAAACCCTAAACCCTAAACCCTAAACCCTAAACCCTAAACCCTAAACCCATTCCCAATTGCTTGACATGCACACCTGCTGCGCCCCACTGGAAACCAAGGTTTCAAGCCTGTCTGGAAAATGTGCGGGAGCTCTGGCTGCCTGGCTTCCACCTCTTCGAGACTGCGCGCCTGGACTTTCAGAAGACCTCGGAGTTTGCGGAATTTCTAACCGAAGCCCCTGCAGAGCCTCCCAGCCTCCAAGCCAGCCCCATGCCTCAAGGTTGTTATGTCGCAGCTACTTCGCATCATGTTTTTTGGATCCCACCCCACACTGGGGGGAAGCACCCGCGGGCGGGGGGGGTCTGCTTGGGGATTCGTGATCACGTTGGTTCGGGATTGTTGAGGTTTGATTTGCTGAAGCTGATTTTACAGCAATTTACATGGAGAGTCGTTCTTTCCGTATTGCTGGGTGCTTGCTGGTGCTTGCAAAATCGAGCGCCTACATGGGGAACGGCTGAGTTTGATTTGCCGTTTGATGCGATGCCGCTGGTGTGTTTCTGGCGCTGGTGCTTGCTAAATCGAGCGTCCACATTGGGAATGGCTGGTTTTGATGTGCTGTTTGGTGCGATGCATTTGATGTGTTTCTTGTGCGGGTACTTCGTAATTGAGCGTCTACATGCGGAATGGCTGCTTCTGATTTGCTGTGTGCTGCGATGCCACTGATGCGTTTCTGGGTTGGCAACGGGAGGCGCTGCTTACGCACTGCTTACGCGTACCTTACGCGCAGCTTACGCTAAGTGCATCACTGGCCACATATTTTGGGACCTCTGCCAGGCTCACGAACCAGCTTGTGGAATCCAGCGTTTACATGGGGAATAGCTGGTTATCATGTGTTATGATTCCACCGATGTGTGTCTTGCGCGGGTGCTTCTTAAATCGGGCGTCTAGATGGGGAATGGCTGGCTTGGTTGTGCTGTGATGCCACTGATGTTTGCCTTGATTGCGTGCTTGTGGAATCGAACATCTACATGGGGAATCTGCTGTGTTATGACTCGGGTGCTTCCCAAATGGGGCGTCTACATGGGGAACGGCTGGTTTGGTTGTGCTGTGATGCCACTGATGTTTGCCTCGAGTGCGTGCTTGTGAAATCGAGCGTCTACATGGGGAATCGCTGTTTCTGCTGTGTTATGTTCCACCGACATGTGTCTTGCGTGGGTGCTTCTGAAAACGGGCGTCTACGTGGGGAATGGCTCGGTCACCATGTGTTTTTGTCTGGTTGATGCAGCCTTGCTGACGCGGCGTCTACATCGGGAAAGCCATGTTGATGTGACCATGATGTGACCGCCTCGCATCGCGCGCGCGCGCGTCCCCTTAGACAGCTGTGCCCTGGCCCTTGTGGCCACTTGCCAAAACGGGGCAACGACATCATGCGTAAGTGACGACCTCTCAAAGCACGCGAGTCGGGCATGGGTGGCCCGGAGGGAGACGGTGTCCATGAAGCCTTTCCCACGTATTTCGATATCTGACCGCGCGACAGGAAGTATGCCTTCGACGCACTCCTGGCACTGCAAGCCCCGAAGCTGTCCCGGTCTTTCCAGTCTCAGGCCAGGCCAGAAGGGTCTCTGTCGGGGGCTTCGGCTTCAGGTGCCAGGATGTGCCAGGTCCAATACTTGGGTCTGGTTCGTGTTTGGTCCCATGGGGTCGCGACCGGAAAGAGACGCACCTTGCAGTTTTGTATACGAAATCCGCGTTGCCCTTATAAGTTCCCCATGTCGCCAACCCCTTTGAAGCAATTTCTGCAGGAATCACCTCAGACGGTTGAGCCTGATCAATAAGCCCTGTGGCCCTGTGTGTAGGGCATCATCATCGATGTCTTTCTGCTGGATGCGTGGCTCACGCTCTTCGCACGCTGGCTGCCCTTCCGCCTGCTTCCAGAAGTCTTAGAGCCTTGGCGCATCTCGGGAGAGAGCGCGGAGAGATGGGGGTCAAGAGGTTCCAAGCATCACGCACGAACGGCTGGTCAGAGTTTTCTGGTAAACGCTGGAGAGTTTCGCCTCTGGTCTGCAGTGCCCGTATCCTTGCGGCCAGGAATACATCAAGTGCCATGGCTTCGCTGGCATTCTCAGCCTCACTGCCTCTTGGCTTCTACATTCTAGAGATTCTAGAGAGTCGATGTGGGACGTCTGTGCGTCCGATTTCTGGACTCTCACCTTGGAGCGAGCATCCTACCAAAGCCCGGTGCACGCCCTTCAAACAAGCACTCTCACAACTTGAACTTGTACGCATTGTGCCGTCATTTAACAGGAGCTGTCGTGACCTCGGAGTTTGTTTGGAACCTTTGAAGCTTTCTGTGATTGCGGCAAAGGAAAGGCCTCAGACTGTTTCAAGTTCTTGCCGGTTGCCGGGAAGAGGTGGCGGTGGTGGACGCCCATGGCGCAAGCATCGGTGGCGTCGAGCCCGCAGATGCTCTCCTGGAACTTTGGAAGTGCTTGCAGTGGGAGGAGCTTCTGACTAAATCTGGGACGTCCCAAAAGGATCATGTTTCGAATTTTCTGGATTGCCTGACCGTCAGGCAAAAAGGCCTGCTTGCATCGCAGCTCCACCCGCCCCAAGAGGAAGAATCTGAGATCCTCCGTGAAGCAGGAAAAAAACCCGCTTCCCTCTAAAACCCTAAACCCTAAACCCTAAACCCTAAACCCTAAGGGGAGAGAGAGAGAGAAGGAGAGACGAAAAAAAAAAAAAGCGCAGCTGGCAGGATCGAGAGCCTCGCCTCGATGCCTTGTTCCAGACTGCTCAAGGCGAGGACCTGTTCAGTAAAACTTGCTTTTTTTTTGTTTTTTGTTTTTTGTTTTTTTTTTTTGTTTGTTTTTTTGTTTTT